CGAGGACTATCATATGGTGGACGAAAGATTAACACTTTTCACGCCTATGGGATAACGTTGGTAAGAATGCTCCAGTGTAGCCAGCTCTCAGCTTGCCAAGAGAATCCGCCATCGTCTTCTTGAGAAGTCCAGCTTCAAAGCTCTTTTTATCTACTTAAGCTGAAAGTAGAAGTAGGCTCAACTATCATAAAAATGTCACCGCCTCCTAAAGTCAGCCTAGTAGTCAAGATAATGAGTAATATCATCCACTCACTTGTTATGTCGTTTAAAAAAATCAGAAAATTCTCATTCTATCTTCCACATATAACAACCCTAGATCTATTCAGAGGAAATTCTGTGTTAAAAAGGAAAAATGCTTTAGCTAAATTAATGACAATAATAATTAGTGTAGTGTATAGGGATCACACCTCGATGATAAGCACCCATGGTAAGCAAGTCTATGTGAAATTCAAAGACATCCTCGGGCCTAGCTATGGCAACTGAGTGAAATTTATGCACGAAAAGGGTATGAATACGGTCACATATATTTCTTTACATAAAAGAATAATTCGTAGGCCCTGCACTACTGACTTTTGTTTGGGTGCGTGCGGTTGAAAATATGATATGTTTTCGCAATTTAAATGATTATCTTGGGATGTTAGAACATAAATCGGACACTTTCATCCAAATTTGTCGATATTTGTAAGGCAAATCTTAGATCCTTCTGCAAGTTGGAGTTCTCTGGCAACTCCTTAAGCACTAATTTATATGCCAGCTAACAGAGTACTTCTTTAAATTGACTGAGATCGTTTGCAATCCATGTCTATTCATACAAATTATCAGCTTAGATGCCTTCTAGGAGCATAATTTCCAGGTATTCTGTGGACAGGCCATGATGGCCGGCTAAAGATGAATACCGAAAAATAAAGAAAAAACTTATCGGTTAAATAATAGAAGAGTCTGGTGGAGTCGTTATCCATGAATTATGTAATTTGGACGAAATATGCGTCTAATTTAAGCCATATCGTAACTTCCTTTATGGGTATCTTTATATTGACTTTATTGACTCCGATTTTGGGTCTTATCATCTGCTCAAGTATTTTTCTTTCTGGGCAGATACCTTAGCTTCTTACCTAGGTAGAACAAAATTTGGGCTATATTAGGTCTTTGTAATTGGGAAATATTAATTGTAAGAAACAGTTAGCTTCATTTTGAAATAAAAAGGTTTCCTGTTTATTGAGCTACTTCCATTTCGAGTGAAAGTGTTTGGTGGAAAGATTCGAGGGTAGATCCCACCAGAGGCGATGGCGGATTTTTATAAATCAACTGCTTATGGTTCTAATGGAACATTCTTGTTGACGCTGTTTCTAAGGTAATATCCATCGATTCCTGTGAAAACATGCTAAGCTTTGGTCCACCGCATGATGGACATCATCAG